GTGTGGGGGAACATTGCTTATGTAGTAAGTAAGTTAGTACCATTTTTCAATGTTTTACAACTATCAATGCAAAAATGTTTAAAGGATTTAAGAATGCAACATGTTTACAATGACTGTTAATGATTCATAATAAATTATGAAAATAAAATAACTAAAAACACACACGCGCTCACGTGCATATTTATGTGTGTGTGTGTGTATATGTACAAGTAACATTTCTCGACACAATTTAATCCTTAAATACAAAGTGCAAGTGAATTTACATATTTTTGTATTACTTAAAGTACAAGCTAAAAATCTTCTAAAGTTCTGATAAATATTTATTCTATATCTACATTTTTGGTAACATTAAAACTACAAAGGTAGAATGAAAATGTTAACAATTTAATTATTCCTTAAAGTTTAATGAAACAATTGCTACTGTTTCAGGCTCTCTATTCAATGCATTGTGACTGTTTTCCTGATTTTATCAGGGTAATACTTGCCTTAATAGGAACTATATAAAGTATTATAAATCATTTCAAAAAGTATCGACAATATAAAAGGGCTTAAATAACTATGTATGTGTATACTTTTCAATCTCTTACTCTTAAACGTCCATAATTATAGTATTATATTCAATATCGAAATTGAATGGTTATGTATTCTGTAATTATTGCAGTCTTTGAATTAAAAGAAAAACTATTATGATTTTAGAATAAATGCCTCCCCTTGCTTTCACTTATTTTGTATGTAGTGCATGCATAAGTACAATTTTTGTTACAATTGCACTATTCAATTGTATACAGTGCATTTATAAAAACCAATCATAGAATCGAAATTACCATTCTTCGTATAGACAAAAATATCGTGGATTATGGGCGTAAGTAAATGAAGTATGCGAGTGTAATTAATATAATATATTGTTATCAATAAAATGTAACATAACGAATAATAATAATAATAATAATAATAATAATAATAATATTAATAATAATAATAATAATAATAATAATAATTACAAAATAGGGCTACGTATTTTCATTGTTTACACGAAGATAGAAAAGTAAGATATGCCGAAATAATCTGTTAAAAAGAAAGTATTTAAAAAATATACACGAACTTCCATCCTTTTAAGAATTACATGTTTCACGTTCTACAAACAGACAAGTCCATTTCGCATTTGTGGTATTATGTCGCGTGTTGGCATGTGTCGAAAAATGCATTATGGAACACAAATTCATATCGACTCTAAGTTTTCTTCGTTTTGCTAATTTATTTCTAACGCTTTACAATGAATAAATCAGTCGCTCGTTGTACTGGAGTTCCATTGAGAATACATAACACATACCATGTTCGTGTAAAATGAAAATTTTCCTTCATGTTTTTTTCTTTATGTTATAAAATCTCTAGAAAAAACGTGATACAGTTCAAGAAAGAAAAGTCTGTTTTACAGATTGGGAAGAAATCGAACAATGAGAAAGTTTATAGGAATAGTAAATATACCTTCCTTAATACTTAAAGATTTGCCTCAAAACTTGTCTGAACGATTACTCAACATACAGTCCGAAAGTACAAGTCTATATTATATGATACACAGCAAGTATATCTGATACATCAGCATCAGATTTGTCTCAATCATTAGAGGAATATTATTTTCCTCTTCTTATTTGTAAAAATATCCACAACATAGAGGCATAGTGTGCATTTTATGCCAAAAGGCGACGCGCTTTAATGCTATATCTATATAAAGTTCTTGTATCTCGCATACTAGGCTCTTTATTACGAAGGTCATCCGTTCCTCGAATAGCGTATTCTCGTATTGAAAAATACAATGTTTGCGTCAGCCCTGTAATAAAACTGTCCTTCGAAACAATATGTATTTTTCATTCAATATGGCCGATATTCCCTGCTAATCGATGTAGACGCAAGGTTAATATTGTACCTTCGCATTTGATCACTCCATTTTAATGGACTACCAAGAAATAGAAAATACCAGTTCAAGATTCGTTTTCACACGTAAATGTTATGAATGTATTTTCAGATCTACTCTCTACTCGATAACTCGTGGAACCGAAATATGAGATGCTTAAGGGATGTGTCTATTTTACACGCATAATGACTATAAATTCGAGTAGCGTTATCAGTCTCAGTGAAAAATTCTCTTATCGATTCAATGATGAAGGAAACAAACTTGCTACCCTGTCTGCTGCTATGCGATACAACTCTACATCTCTGTATTTGTATTATTGAACGCGGAGAAACTTTTTCAATGAGACCAATAAAGAGTACTAATGGTGTATCAAGCCAAGCCAAACAACTCGACATTTAGACCACCGTACACATCCTGGTAGCCCATTCGATAGGCGGAGCTTGCAAAATTTTGTCGATTAATTCTGCTGCAACTCTGATCCTGTATGAAAGTGGTGGTATATAGTGGCCGATGCTTCTGGCCTCTGTGCGTTTAACATGAAACCTGAAACGGATGATTAATTTATTGAACAAGTTAAACAAAGGATATTATAACATAGATATCGTTTTACTCACCTAGGAGTGATAAGGAGTAACATACGTAGATGGAAAGAGACCCCGTCTATTGCCGATTTCTCCATGCCACCAATGTTGATCTGTACGGTCGGTTACGGTAATTACATCACCTCGTTTAAATTCAAGTTCACCAGGTTCTTGTGGCATGAAATCGTATAATGCTTGTACTAGACACTGAAATAAAATACAACATTAGGGTAGTATTAAAAAATCGCATTCCATTATACATTATTTTGGATAAAATTACTTCTTCTGGAATCATATCTCGCAGTTTAACATCCTGTGAACGAGAGACGGATGCCGTTCGATGATACTCCACTAATTCGTTAAGACTGTTAAATTTGACCACCCAGAGAAAGAACTTTCCTTGGGCATCCCTCAACACTTTAAAATGCTGAACACCGTCTGAACATCTAAACAAAACCATCGAACGATTATTCGACTAGCGTATCAAATGTTTATACCTTTCAAGCATAGTTTTCTTTTAATAGTCTCATACTAACTTAACAGACAGAGAAAAATCTCCAGGGGAACTCTCGCTAATTCTAATAAGAAAAGCGCCCTCTTGTTTGTTCATTAATAGTCTCTCTGCATCTGCTCTGGTTATCCTCCCGTAATACCAGCTGAAACAGAGAAATCTAACATAAACAAACAAGGATCCAATGGAAATTTAGACAAAACGAATAGCGCAGAAAGTATGGGGCACCCACTCATGGTTTTTCATTTCTATGTAGTTACTTGGAATGAGTCCTTCTCTGGAATCTAGTTCGGCTCTATACCAGTTCATGTCATCCTCCATATTTAGAATCTGCAAGAATAATATAGGTAGTGTATCGTGCATATTATATTAGCCGTGTTCTCCTATACGACATTTACAAAGATTAACGAATATTTCACTTTAAAGCAAAGTATAGCAAGGTACTGGTTTGTAACAAAAGACTAGACTCGAGTAGAAGTATACCGAACAAGATTATTTAAGCAAAGAATTAGGTTTAAACAAACAAAAGGTCTTCGAAGGCCTTTCTATCTCTCTGTTAATAAACGATTAAGGAGAAATTCTGTAAAACATTATAATTTTATTTATAAATATATAAAGTTTGCAATGAATCGTGGAAGAAGAAAAGAAATCGAACAACAAAACTGAATAATTTTTATCCACATGTTTCGAACGGAAATCGCATTGAAAATCAACAGATGTACAAAGAATTGGAAGCGAAAGGAAAAAGTGAACAAGGATCATCGTTTTACGTGGAACGCTACGCATTGTCGCGAATATCCTGAGCGACACGCGACATCCGCCTGCACGATAGCAGTTCGGAAAGTTCGGAGCTGGCAAAGCATGTGCCGAAAATTTGCAAGGACAAATTTGTTTGGCCGATTTTCTAATCGTCTAATCTTCGAATTGCCTAATGTTCCGATTGCAAATAATTACGGTGACACGTTTGAGAGCATAGAATGTACAAACCTTGAGGATTTGGCTTCTACGAAAACTAAGCTCATCCTCGGCAGTAGCCGTAAAATCATGCTTTGCTATCGCCTCCATTCTGCTTCCTCGTCCCACGAGAAGAAGAACGACAGAGAGGGAAAGAGAGAGGCGATATTATACCCAGTGGTTGAAGGCAGCGCTAAAACTAGCCGCCTTTGTTTGCCAATGGGAAAAAATAATGACAGACACGGGCCTTATTAGTTTCGTGGAAAAGTAGATTCCTCTGGTGAATATTCCTAAATGATAAGCTAAAGCACGTAGATGGTCACGGCGATGGAACGCGCGACACAGACGAATCGACGAATCAACGAACGTACGAACGTACGAACGACCGAACGACCGAACGAACGAACGAACGAACGACCGACCGACCGACCGACCACTTGTGCTTTTCTCTGTTGCGCTGCCTCGCGATTATCCGAATTAGTCCTTCGTCGGTCCGCCTCGATCAATGGCACAGTGACGCGTACATATTAGAGGCAACACGACCGCTGCTCGCGAATCTATTTGTTCGTTCGAGTCACTTTTTAGGGAAAGTGAACTGTCAAAAGCAAAGGTAAGATCACGCGTTCGCACGGCTGTCCATCGCTCGTCTTATCAGACATTACACTCTCGTCGACTCTCCCACTGATCTCGGTCTCCGTGTTTCGGTCCACCGATGCGCAATGGCCCACTGCGCCGACGAGCCCACCTCGACGTCCGGATTCGCCTCTAGACCAAATTAAAATCCGTTCGACGCATAGAATACCGATCGAACAGCTATCGAATTCAAGTTAAACAACTCGAACGCGATCGTCGCAGGGTTTTCCTGGCCACGGGGACAGGAACGAGGTTCCACCAGACGAAAACTCCAGCGTACTATTTTTCTGTGGCGCAGGCGCGCGCATGCGCGTTCCTCCCGTGTTGCGTCGACTGCTCCGCCACCATTTTCTACTTTAGAATATCGCTTATACGCGTGTAACGATGTTGCGACTTTTCAAAGGTAAACAGTTTTAAATAGATTTATACATTGGCAGAAGCTGCTTCTCTACCTTAACAATTATGTCACCTTCCATACGTTCCTCGCGCATCGCGAACGCTTCCCTTCGGCCGATTCGATCGAACACGAGCAGTTTCATTTCAGGGAGGAAAATTGGAAATCGATCAATCGATTGGACTAACGCTCAATCGATCGCGATCGTAATTTCTTGTTCGCGCCGTCTCTGCGCGGAACAGTTTTTCTTTTATTCGCTTCGAGTCCTGTCCTTTTCCCGTGCTACCAGTGAATTCAAAACGAGACATGGAGCTATGTAACAAGGTACTGCGCATTTTCCGTTTTCCGTTTTCCGTTTTCCGTTTTCCGTTTCCCATCATTTCCTAGTATGCAGGATAAGTCGCTGTCGGGTAATTGGCCACCGAGCATGCGATAATGGCGAATCAAGTACGCGTTCGTTGCGTAATTATTTCACTGGTCGAAAGGAAACATCGAAAGAAACGCGACCAAGTTCAAATGGCTGTAGTAGAAATCATAGAAGAATACCTCCTAATTCGAAGGCGGTTATTTTAGGATGGAAAGCGTGTTATCCCATGAAATATGTAGAAGAGAAATAGGAGTAGAGAAACGTACGAACTCATCGCGAAATGCTTGTCCATTTCCCGCCGACATCATTGTCACCGATCACGTGAGTTGTAAACGAACGTGCAGTGAAAGCAGGATAGGTTATACTGCTCGGAACGTTCAAATACCTAGTATTTCGCCGAAGATGCTTCATTTTCAGAATGAATTTACAGGACTGACGCTCGGTTGAAATTACAACCGCTGTTCACGAGGACGTTTAACGGCACTTCCGGAAATATTTCACGTACGTTCCCATCAATTACATATAGAATTAAATACACATTTCCACAGATCATCGAGAACCGGTAGTTCTTCGACTCTATTCACAGTAAACTTCAAGTAAACCGTTTCAAGAAAGAGACGGTTCGTCGATGCGTCAGCGTCAAGCTATTGTTACCAACGCGCGATCGTTTTGGAAGCATGAAAACTCGGGATAGCGGTACGTTATCGTTTAATAGAGTAGAAGCGATATTAAAAAACAGAAAGGAACGGAAGGCACCGTCGCGACACGCATCGCTCCTGATTTAATTGTTCGCTCACTGATCGATAATCGTTCGACGTAAATAGGCGTCGTGAACGGATTAGCAAAAGCGCGCGTTGTTCACGTCGAGAGAAGCTTGTCGTTCAGCTTTCTAACATAGCAAGAATTTTTCAGCTCGTATGGAGATTTGTCGAAACAAGTAGAAAACAAACAACCGGAAGAAGCGGTTACCGTAAGGAAGGACTGGTAAAATGGAAGGAATTCGGGAAGGGAGGAGGTGCGGTCCGAGCATAACTCGGACTTTCTTATCGAACGTTTCCAGGCAATTCTTCGTTATCGCGTCCTAAGCGTCATCCGGCGCGATGGAAGCGATACGAGCAATGGAACCGAAAGATTTCCGACAAAAATTACGAAGCGATCGCATCGATTGTTCGCCAGGTTTGAATTTCTCCGAGGCTCGGCACGCGAACACGTTTCTTATTCGGATCGCCGCGCTGCTGGCTCGTTCGCGCGAGAAGCGAACGAGAAATACTTTCAGAGAAGCGACGAGAGAGCTAGCGACCGTACGAGCGCGTTACCGCGGAAATTCAATTACCTTTGTGCAACGGTAACGATGAAAGCGAGACTGGATTGCACCGCCTCGCAAACGAGCTTCCAATTAAACGCGGCAAAGTACTGCAATTTGCGCAACGAAGAATCGGGACGGCAATCTGTCGTCGTCGATCGGGGACGCTGTTCCGAATTTTTGCCGAACGAACGGCGCGGTGGCCGCGAATTCGCCGACTCGCGAACTCGCGAAGAAACGTGCACGCGCGTGTTTCGCTTCCCGTTAGAGATTTACGGGCGTCTCGGATCTACGCTTCCGCCCACTTTCGATGAAAGTTTCCGAGACGTCCGCGCGCCGTTCGATCGTGCTAACCCTGGCGACTTTTCGATCCTAACGAAACGGCGAGCGGATTCGAACGGTTCGCGTGACACCGTCGCCTCGTCCGGCTTCGATTTGTCCAATGTAAAGCCTCGGCACGAAGCAGATGCGCCGCGATGCGTGAAGGTTAAAGAGCAAGGCTCCGCACGGAAGAGGTTTCGATTCGCGAAAAATATGAATCGCGATCCGATGAAATCCGGCTAATCGAATTTAAATGAAATTCACCAGACCTTTGTTAGGGTTTCCCACGAATACCCCGACGCGCCGTTAACGCCATCGTTTTCATTATCATAACCGTTACGTTATGCCGATCTGCCAAAGCCTGACATTGTTACACCGGCTGGCGGTCATCAACGGGGAACAACTAAACGAACCGCGCGCGCGAATTTCAGTAACGACCTCGTTATTGCAGTTACTTAAACCGGACCGTAATCCTCTTTCCTATTAAATAATCGAGTTAGATGCTCTGATCAGATCAACAAACAAGGTGCCGAGAGAGAGAAAGAGGAAGAGAA